CCATGAGGAAGAAATGATTACCTATTGTCTTTTACTTGAGGAAAGATTATTTTTCTGTATATTTGATACCAAACTCAGCTCTTTAGTGCCAAAGACTGAACACATTAATGTTAGATGTAAAAATAATGAATTTTTGAGTGTTTAATAATGTGAAAAATAGCTGGAAAATAGGCCAATTTGGGGATTCTTTGGGAAATTTTACTATCTTTTAATTGTATTTTTTTACTTTTTTGACAGATGTCTCTACATGTAACTCGATATGAACTTCAGTCTATATAGATAGCAGTTTGAATTATTCTGGTCTGTTGGAGGGCCATTCATGTCATCAAAAGAGTCCTTGTGCTGTTATGGTTAAGAACTTTAGCTGCTAGTTTCATGGTTGGCAGTTTGAACCCACCAGATGCTCCAAGGAGAAAGATGAGGCAATCTTTTTCCCTGAAGATTACATAGCCTTGGAAACCCTGTGAGGTAGTTCTACGCTGTCTACAGGGTCGCTATGAGTTGGAATCGACTCGAAGGCCAAGAAATTCATGTCATCAGTGAAGCACTTTAAGAAACTTCTACACACTTTGTTATAATCTCCCTTATTATTATCATTATTAACATGTAAGTGAATGCTATCTGTATTTCTCAAGGGTCTCTCCAAAGTGCTGCTCTCATTTCAACTTTCATTGGATGATATGGAAATGAAAATGAAATTGCATATGAAAGGCTGTAAAATGCTTTTACATCAAAGGACATAGTAAGTGTCTCTATTGGTAACAAAAGGATCTTGAGCTAATAATTATGTTTATTTACTTATTTATTGTTGGTAGTAAATGTGTTTGGATAGACTTCTGCTCATACTTTGAACATGCATATACTTAACATAGGAGTTTATGTTTTACTCAATCAATTCAAATTAAATACATGAGTTATTTAAAGAGTAAAAAAGACATTGAATTGAATACTTAATTTTTTGAGTGTCATTATGGACATATAAGGAGTCTTGGTGATGCAATGGTTAAGTGCTCAGCTGCTAAACAAAAGGCTGAGCATCTGAACCCACCAGGTGCTCCGTGGGAGAGAGACGTGGCAATCCCAAAAATTACAGCTTTGGGAAACTTGTGGGGCAGTTGTACTCTGTCCTATAGACTTGCTATGAGTTGGGATTTGAATTTTTGGTATACTTTTCTGTTAGCAGACAAACACTTAACCACTGTGCCACCAGGTCTCCTCGAACTTCAAGTAACTGTATACTATTTCAGCCTGTAACTGATAAAAGTGAGCCTCTTGGCCTTTTTCTTATGCCTGCAAAACTGAGTCTCTAAGCTCCAGGCATTGTATTCACATTCAAGACAATTAAATATATGATAGGGGAAGCAATCAGCAAAACTCATCCAAAACCTCAGTAGATTCCTACCTAGAACTCTATGCTGTAAGGTGAGAATGTCCTTTCTAAAAGCATGCAAAGAATAGGAAGTTTAAGTATGGGTTTTGGATTAACAGCTGAGCCAATTGTATGTGCTATATTCCTTTCTACTCTAAAACATTACTCAGAAATTTTAAGTGAAATGCAAAGGTCTGCATAATTTCAAGTATTTTATTTTTTTATTAGACTCTGTGAAAGAATTCAGTTACTGATATTGTAACATGTTTGGCTGTAGACCCATGATTACGTTTTAATTCCAAAACATCCATTACAAAATGAAGTAATGGCAGCCTTCAAGGAGTATATTATAAAGGCATGTTTAGGAAATTTATATAGTAGCAACCGTTTTAGATTTATCGAAAAAAAAATCAATATTTACATAGATCATAATATGCCTCATATGCATTTTTTCACATATTGCAATTACGGAGCCATTATAACAATAATGAAATATATAGTAATTTTCCAGTGACTTAAAATTTACAAAACAAAGGACTCAATAGGAATACTGGCATTAAATGATAATCAAGCAGTTAGCAACAACAAAAAAGGACAATAACTAGCTATTAAATATACACAAGACTTTTCTATTTTGGTGATTTTCAAACATGTATAAATTGAAATGTGTTTATTTTGCCTAATTCGATTGACAAAGAATACAAGGAATTCTAAATGGGATAATATGTTGGAATAGCTACTCTCAATTAAATTTTCTGGGTGTATAAATTTTTATAGTATTTGTGAGAAAGGTTGAAATAGAAGGCTGAAGGGCCCCTCACTGAAACTTGAAAAACCTTTAGAAGTTAACAGGCATGATGAAAGTAAACATTAATCTTAGTGACTAACTCACTGTTTTTCCCCTCCCTTATCATTCTCTTCTAAGTAAATAGTATATCCAGCCTTTGTTTACCACCTTGAGTTCTTTAGATTTATCATTCTCAGTTATGTATTCTTTGAAGCATAACTCTTTGCCCCCAATTAGTTTTTGCTGAGACTTGTAGGCCATAACAAGGGGACCCTGAGAAATATGACACCAAGCCCTGGAGCAACCAAGATAAAGGAGACCCTTACTCTCCCCCTCTGCAGAATAAATCTCTCTAGACAGTGTGAGGCATCTAAAGGACCAAGGACAGTTTTCTTTATCACTGACCAGAAGAAGGGCCGAGAAACCACAAGACAGCTACAACTCATTCTGTAACAAAAAGAAAACCTTGCCAGCATTCCTAAGACCTATCCCCCTTTCAGCCCAATACCCTTTAAAAGCACTAACATTTCCCCAGCTCAGGGAGACAGGCATTTTAGAGAAAGGATTCTCACTGTCTCCTTGGATATCAACAGACACTCAATAAACCTTTTTGCTTTCTCTCTTTCACCTATTGTGATGATCATTGGCTCTTCACGACAGGGGGTAAGGACTTTGTTTTCCTACAACATTTGGAATATTGCTTTATGCTACAGCTAGACTTCCAGAATTAATCTCACAACAATATTACAGTGTGCAAACTATACATAAATGTTATCTATGGCCTTGTTTGTGAACATAAGTAATTGAAAAAAATTCTACATTTTCAACATAGAAATTAATAAGATAAAATACACTATCACAACACAGAATAATATGCTGCACATTTTTAATATGGAAACAACACATCTCTATGCTATGACATGCAAATATATAAACAATTTGTTTTCAATTCAAAAACCAAATTTCAGAACACTGATTGCATGCGAACTATTATATTACAAAAAGCATTTTCATATATACAATTGATATTTGAAGTTTATTTTTTATTTATTCCCTTTATTGTCATTTCCATTTCTATTTTTTCCTCTATACACAACTATTTTAAATTATTTGATACATATCTTTATGTCTGTATTCTTATAAAGTATGCATTTTTATTTTTGAATATAGACTTTCACATTACATGAATTATATTGACTCAATTAAATTGCATTACTGAATTTTTCACTCACAATCTCTTTTTAAGGATTATTTATGTTGCTGTGTGTTCATTAAGTTCATAATATTTAACACTTGTACCATCTGCTGTATTTTTTTCAATATATTTTAAATATCTGTTCACATAAATGGTCCCTAGATTGCCTCCAATTCCCCCAAATAACAACTTATTTTATAATACAGTAACAACTACCCTAAACAACTTACCAATATGTGAAAATGTTCTTGGAAAACAATCCTAAAATCAGTATTGCTAGGACAAAGGACACAATTGAGTTTACTTTAATTTCTACAGATTTTTTTTTTTTTTTTAATGGCTCACCAGTTAACATTCTGAGCAGCTGTGAATGAGCAACTCTTTTTCTCTCCACATCCCCACCAACACTTGCATGATTAAAGAGTTCAGGTCAGCTCACTATGTCTGTCATCTTCTGAACCATCACCCTATTAAGTGGGCAAGGCTGAAAGAGAAGAAGCTACCTGGGCTATGTTCACTTTTATGACGGATCACCAGAGTAGTAGAAAGCAAAAAGGCATAAAATAAATCTGTGTGGAAATTACTATACAATTGTATATTTTAGTACTAAAATGAAGGGAAAATAGACAAACGTCTTTTTTAGAGAAGGGGATTAGTTAATCAATCATATTGACTACAGATATAAACAGGAGCTCTGGTAGCATAGTGCCTAAGGTATTTGACTGCTAACCAGATGGCTGGCACTTCAAACCCACCAGCCACTCCTCGGAAGGAAGGTTGTGCAATCTACTTCTCTAGTGATACCGCCTCAGAAACCCATGGAGGGGTCTCTATGAGTCAGGTCTGACTCGACGGCACATAATAACAACAACAACACAGATATAAACATATGGATTTATTATGTGTTAATAATCTCTTCCATTGTCTCCACATTAAGACAGAAACTTTTCAAATACAGAGGACTACTCTACTCAGTTGCTCTGTATATTAGTTAACAAATATCAAATACAGTTCATTATTCCCATGCCCATGATGATAACAGTATCACATGTAGATCATAACAACACATGTGTTGCAAAATCAGTGAGGAAAAGACAGAGAGTTAGGGAGATAAAGTCTGTAATCTGGGTGTCAGGAGCCATGCTTCTCTTTGTCCAGTACCTTACTGGATGCTTTTTGACAAATCACCACAGTATCACAGATAATTAGCATGTACTCTGACTGAACCTTGTGGACTTTATAAGGACACTAATGGTATTGTAAAGGCAGATTGCATATCTAAGTGGGAAAAAAGTTGAATAGTCAAGGTAATACATTCAAGTATTACTATTTGATTACTTGTCCATTTTCAAATAAAAAAGATAATCATAGCTAAACAAATAAATAAAAATTAGAGATGAAGAAAAGAAAATATCCTCAAGTCCCTAGAAATTTAGTAAGGGATTTTTTTCTTGTTTTTCTTTTTGCTATTTCTGTAAATTTGCAGAAGACTTTCTTTACCACTGCTCACCAGCTCATATTGGAGAAAATAGGACTAATTACATAATTGTTTTAAATTGCATGGGGCGTTTTTTGTTTTGTTTTGTTTTACATTTTGAGGACAATATGTTAGGAATAAGTACCATTTGCATAGAGACCTACAGACTAAATTATCTCTCAGGTATATTAATGACCTTTTGAAAACAAAGGAGCTTCTTAATTGCCTCTTTCATATCCTTATTTCTCAGGCTATATATAATGGGATTGAAAAGGGGAGCAAGTACAGAGAATGTCAAAGCAATAGTCGTGTCCCAAAAGGGTGTATAAGTAGCTGAAAATCTAAGATACATGAGGCCCACACTGACAAAAAACAGCAGGAAGACAGCAATGTGGGCAGTACAGGTGGAAAAGGCCTTTTTGCTGCCCTCAGCTGAAGGGATGTTGAAGATCACAATGATAATTCTGATGTAAGAAAGAGAAATAATCAGAGCTTTTGTTAGAATGGCAAGAGCATGAATCACATCTTGCACTAGGATCACGGAGGCATCTGTACAGGCCAAATTCAATAAGGGACTGAAATCACAGAAGATCTGATGGATTTTGTTGGGACCACAGAAGGGTAGGGTTGAAATCCATACAATCTCAGGGAGAAGGATAAAGAAACCAAAGATGCAAGACCCTGCAGAGAGCTGAACACATAGCCGAGGAGTCATGATCGTTGGGTAGTGGAGTGGGCTACAGATGGCTACATACCTGTCAATGGCCATGACAGTCAGCAAGACCCCTTCAGTGTTTCCAAGGGAATGGAAGAAGTACATCTGCAAGAGGCAACCAATGAAGGAGATGGTCTTTTGATCGCTGATCAGATTGGAGAGCATCTTAGGGATGGTGGCTGTGGTATACCACATCTCAAGGAATGAGAAGAGACTGATGAAATTATACATGGGATTGTGGAGACGTATATCCATCCTCACAGCAAAGAAAATCATTAGATTACCAATAACAATAAAGGTATAGATGAAAAGTAAAGGAAAGAAGTATAGGAGACCACCATCATAGAGCTGGGGAAACCCAACGAAGATAAATTCAGTCACAGTTGATAGGCTTCCATTCTCCATATCCCCAACAGAGCTACCTATGAACAAGGAAAGGGACACACAGAACCAACAGAAGGAAAACAATGTAGTAGAAATATCAACATTATTTTTATTATCTGGTATTTTTGTATTATGATCTTTCACAGATTCAAAATAGTTATTAACTTCCCGGTACTTTCTAATGATTTTTTTTTTTTAATTTTGAAGGGACTATAGATTAATAGTTAGAAGTGTGAACTCAATTCAGACAGAATTCTTTCTGTCTTCTATTACTTGAGCGATATTGGACAAGTTACCTCATGTCTCTGAGCCTTGACATCTTACTCTATAGATGGGAAATAATAGTACTTAGGTAGCATAACTGTCAAGAGGATTAAATAAATTAATATGTGAAAGTGTCTAGCACTAAATCTTCAATCACTGTTAACCAACCTTTCTGAACAAACAATATAAACATCTCCTTCAGATGCACACCTAATCCACGTGTTATTTGACTTTTCCCTGCTATGGTGGCATAGTGCCTAAGGCACTTGACTGCTAACCAGAAGGCTGGAGGTTCAAACCCACCAGCCACTCCTTGGAAGGAAGATGGGGCAATCTAC